TCCTATACTAAGACGAAACAGCTATCCAGTGCTTCCAGGTTTTCAGTGATGGTCAAACAGTGATCAGCTCATGATCTCAATAAAATTCTATTTCAGCTTGATAAAATACTTGAACTGCTAACTTGATGGAACTAAAGACATATCTGGTTATTTGCTCCTGTTCAACTGACTTATAATTGATACATCTTAATGTAACAAAGGAGATAAAACTGTGGATGAGGTTTCATTAAACACGTTAAATAAATCTACAGTAGATACAATCACTGGTCATAAAAAAGTAAATCAGCATTATTCTTAATTGTATGTGAATTATTCATCTGATCTATAATAATAATAATATCATACTGGTGTAGGTTTTGTAGAGACTATATAATTTTAATAGTATATTTCAAAAACTGACCTTATTGAAGTCAATATAGAAAACCTGGAATCACTGGGTAGCAGTTTCTTCCTAGTGTTGGACTCTTCAGCACTAACCACTCACGACCCCGCATCTGGGGATCAAACACGGTGAAGTTCAAACATATTTGGTTTAACACACTTATCCACCGTAGGCAATGAATGATGGTCATGCAATATTGCGAAATGATTGAGATTGGATATCAACACCGTTGGATGACAGTTCAGAGGCTCAAAATGAAACGTTCACACATGAGACAGAAGGTACTGAATTCAGTCAGTCAGTCAGTAACAACGTAGAACTGCGTACGTACGTACATCAGTTCGAGTTGCCACACCACATTAGCACAAAGATGCAGTGGTCGATTCAAATCCCGTAGTGGTAGAGGTAATAAGAGTATAAGCAGTAATCGGAAAGATTAGTGTTTGGAGATGTTACTTAAAGAGTATAATACAGTGAAATAAAATTGGGAAGAGAAAAAAAGAGACAAGGGGGAATCAGGAGATCAAAATTTGGAAGAACACAAAGAGTGGATGCACCTGCGCCATTCCAAACGATTTAGACCCATGTCATTCAAGGTCTCTAACTATCGGTTGCTATCATCTCGCGGTCCCCAACCAGGTAGTCTAAACCTACCAACATGACTCAGACCACTTGTCAGTGACTTCATAGACTTGTGCCATGTTTTGGTTTGGCCGCCCCTAGCTTTCTTCCAACCTACTCCTATACCACTGAACATCGCACGTCGAGGCAGTCGGTCGTTGGGCATAAGTAACACATGTCCCAGCCATCTCAACTGATGAAGTTTCACCACTTCATCAATTGATTTGCCATCCTTACCTAGTACCCGTTTCCTAACAACTGCGTTACTTACTCCATGGTCCCATGATATACGAGCAATGTTTCGAAGACACCTATGATCGAATACTAGTAACCTACGAATATCCTCTACTCTTACCGGCCATGTTTCACTGCCATAAAGTAGGACGGGACGAACTGCTGCGCAGTAAACACGTCCTTTGGTTGATAGATGGATATCTCGCCTACGCTATAAATGACGCAAGTTGGTAAAAGCTAGTCGAGCCTTCTGTATCCGTGCTGAGATTTCGGATACTGGATTCAATTCTCGGATGTGGGCTTTTAGATACACAGTGTTGAGTAATCTCGTACTAAGACGTAACAGGAGTCCACTGCTTCCAGGTTTTCAAAGATGATCTAATTAACATGATTACGTCTTATTGTGTTTATAGTCTTGTCGTTTTTATGATATTCACATTATGAAAACTATATTTTCGTATTATAAAGATTCGAAACATATTTATTGCCATACATGTAGTCATAACAGATAATACTATCGAAAATTGAATAGGTTTTATCAAATCAATATATAGAATTAGGGATGAAATATTTTTTTAGTGTATACATTTTGTTATAAAATCTTTCTCTCCTAACATTTCGCTTGATAAATTATGTTGTCAAATAGGCAATTAAAAATAACGAATAAAATAATTATGTTTTTCCAATAGTTGAATATCATGAGTCAATTGAAGCTAGACCACAATGGAAAACCTGAAAGCACTGGACGGTCATTTCGTCCTATTGTAGGAATTCTCAGCAGTGCGCACCTACGATACTGCACCCCTCGGGATTCGAATCCAGGGCCCACCGGTCTCGCGCGCGAATGCTTAACCATTAGACTACTGAGCCGGCTGGCACATTCAACGGTATTAACGTTTAAATTCAACCAATCCACGAAAATGTACCACCGTCCACCATTGTTACTATCTCATAACTGACCCGGTTAAGCTCCACTTGCCACTGCATTTCACTAGAACCCCAGGAAATACCTCCTATGTTTTTGAATTGACAATATAATCATTCCCACAATGATATAATTTGAAATAATTATGGCAGTATAATAAACAAGAATTTGATTGTACTAACGAATATACTAAAATGAAAAAGGAATGCGTAAATGCTTTTGAGATTATTATTCTGTGTTGTATCATATAGGTTTGACAATTAACGAATTCGTTTATGTTGTAGTAGTTTTAGTGAAATTTGGCATGTAAAAAGTACTTTGCACCTGGTCATCATGTATAAGAGGTAAGTACGGCTAGTGCACTCTGTAAGACTAAATTGCTACTTTTGATTCTATCCCATCATTCTTTCCTGTTGCACACATTTGATTAACACTATGATCTGAATAAGTATTTGGTTGTGTTCAGAGGAAAACAACCGTGCTTTTCGTTCGTTGAAGTTATTTCTTCATTATTTTTCCATGGATTGCTTTAAGTATGAAAGAGAATTGAGTAACTTTGATAGAGTAACATGGCATTTGCATTGCTGATGGTTCTGTGGAAAAAAACTATATTAGATCTTATTCGCCTTTGTATGTATTTTTCTTTCAATCTTTCCTTTCTTGATGTTGAACTAATATGCTTTTAGGAACATACAACATCCACTTCTGAAACTTATCAATTCTTGTATCTAACCAACTTTTCGTTATTTGTTCCCATTGACTGTTCGAAAAACTATGATATGTTGTGCAGAACTAGTCAGTCAGTTACAACGTAAAGCTTGGTACGTATATACATCAGTTCAAGCTATCCATATCCCATTAGTATTAAGAAATGAAATTGTTAGCTCACATCTCAGAATAGCAGAGATAGTAACAATATGAGTAGTGATTGAAAAGACTAGGCATTGAAAGTATGACTACAAATTAGTGAAGTAAAAAAATACACAAAAATGTTAACAAGAATTCAGTGTGTAGAACTATGAAGACTACTTATAAGATAATAAATCGTATTCAATTATGAATAGAAATTCGGAATATTTCAGATAAATGACCAACAGTGTTACATTATTAAATCATTTGATAACGACATAACATTTCCCTTTTGTAGAATACGACGCTGGTTTATTAGAATTCATACAGATATATTATATTCATGTTATTACTGTTATTTCCGAAGATTCTACTACTTATACTTGGAAAATGTGAACTTCAGCAATTCGTATGATTCGAAATGAGAACATGGAAGACTTGTAGCTCTCCAAAACTTATTTTCAAAACAAGTTATCACTAGACTGAAATGATCAGTTTCATACTGATTTTTTATCCAATGATACTTCATATAGGAAAAAATAAACATAGAGTTACTGCGAAAACACAATGAATTTAGTTCACTTAAATTGATACAAGAACTATGAATATCATACTGAATGAAAATTCACAATTATCACATTGAATGAAATTGATACAGAATAAATATAAGACTATTGACCTGAAATAATGTCACACTAAACAATGGTTTACAGTTGTCATGCTGAACATAATCGTTACTGAAGTGATACAAAAAATAATATTGACCACTTTTATTGCCATCTTTTTATCCCATCATATCACAAATAAAATAAATTTTGAGTGAGTGAATTAGTCGAAAACACTCTGATTCATCGATAAATATTTATCCATTAAAATGTTATAAATACATCTTTATTTGTATTGTTAGTTTGGATAGTGGCCAGCAATGGAGTCTAGGACGCGCGTTTCGTCTTATTCGGGACTCATCACCTGAATGTATCTGCATCTCAGAGTTGATGTTCACTCTGAGACATGAACCCAGTACCGTCCGATTCAAACAAGATCGCGTTATCCCCTTTGGCTACTGAGTCCTATTATTAATTTAAGTCATCAAAGATTATTAATTTACACTAAAATTTATGTCCGTATCTTATAGAACAAATTTTCATGTTAGTAATATTAGGTACGATTAACTACACACTAATTTCATTTCATTTATTAATCCTATATCAATTTCAATAGTTGAGATCATGAGTCAATTGAAGCTAGACCACCATGGAAAACCTGGAAGCATTGTACAGCCGTTTCGTCTTATTGTAGGACTCCTCAGCAGTGCGCATTCACGACCTCGCCCCCCCGAAAAATTCGAACCCAGGACCTACTGGTTCCGCGCGCGAGCACCTAACCATTAGACCACTGAGACAGCCTGTATCCAACGGTGTTAATGTCTAACTTCAACCAATCCACGGAATTGAGCGACACATCCACCATTGTCTTCAGTGAGTTACTTTCTCACAACAGACCTGGTTAGATTCCACTGGTCACTGCTTCTCACTAGAACTCCAGGATATACCTCTTGAAGACAGTCACTAGTGAGCATATGTTGATCAACATCAGACGGGGTTTTGTAGATATTATAGTAATTTCAATAGTTGAGATCATGAGTCAATTGAAGCTAGACCACTATGGAATCCTATATCAATTAATCGTTAAAAATATAGAGTGAAATTTGGTACACAAAAACAAAATCCCATACATCGGAAACTTAAGGTCATAAAATCAATGTATCAGATTATCACCATCATACAAGCAACTTAGGAAAAAAATTGTGAAACCAAAGTTTCAACTATCATAAAAAATAAGAACAAACATATAAATGAAAATGAATTATCTCTTTATTTGTTTTAACACGCTGACCCTTCCATAAACCAACATATTGATTACTAACAATAAAGATAATATTCATTATTCAATGAATAGTAGACATAAATTAATAATAATGAAACATACTTTTTATATTGTTTTTCTTCTGGTTGAAAAAATGATGTACCCATACCACGATGACCAATATCTACGGCTGATGCACGTTTCTTCCAATGATGTTGATAAGTAACTTCTAAACATGGACTGAGTGGTTTAATCATTGGATAGATAATAAGATAACGTACTAGAAGGAGAAAAAAATTTATTATTATTATTATTATAGATTCATATTGTACGTACATATTGGTGTATTTGGTTTCGACTTAGATCTTAAATATTATGACTAGTGATATTAGCTGGTTGCATAAACTTAAGTAGGCAGAACAGGGTTTGAACCTGTGAATTAGTGGTTGAAAGTTGAATGTTTATATCACAAAAGTACTGGTTCACAATGAATAAATTATTGGCAAACAAAGCTATTAGAACAACAGAAATTACTTTCTTTTTTACTTTAAGTTAATTAATCATAATACAAAGAGAGACAAAGAGTGACAAGTGTTGAAATAGTATAACTATCTCACCATGACAATGATAAGTTTATCACACTTTCGTTCTATATGCAAAGGTCAAGTCGATCACTCAATATTTCATGAATAATGGACATAAAGTGAACGAGTCAAAAGCATTTAAAATAATTAACAAGCAATCAACATCATTTTGCTTTGAAGAGGTCATTGCAACCAAGCGCTTTTGACTTGAACTTTGAATACAAAAAGAAATTAAAGTAAATCTATCACCGTCATGGTAAAATAGGTGTATTATTACAATGCTAGTCAGTTACTTTATCTCTTTCATCCCACTTACATTCACTAACGATGTTAACTTTAATTCCATATTAAATAGGTCTTAATTATCAATCATTTGGTAACTTTATTTTTATTCATTGTCTCATTATTATCATTAATAACTTCACACGTCCCCCGTCTGTTTGTCTTTTCTGTGATGTCCTCTTCAACGTATGAAATACTAATCAATCTTAACTATTAGGTTAAATATATTGTTTGTGTTGTGGGTTTATGTCCGGCTTTTATCACGTGATTTATCCACCAATCAAAATACGACTTATACAACCTTACCACTGTGCCAAAGCAATGACGTTCGACCGGTATGGGCAGCCTAACGTCCTTATTGGTCCTATGTCCGCATAGCCCGTTCACTTGAGTCCAGAACACCAATAACAGTTTCCACTATGCGAATCGAATCATTTATTTCAGACATACTGAGTGTATATATTAATCAAACAGATCGCAACGCACCATAGAATAGGAAATAACATTTGTACACAATAAAGCCAAAAAGTGGCTGTGAACGTGGGAGGCAATAGTCAATAAACTGAACATAACTTAAGAACAGTAAATCGTACAATAATAAACTATAGGTCAAAATAAAGCTTATAATAAGAGGAATATAGATATACATAATTTAATTATCGAATAGTTATACCATAAGAATGTATAGATAATATTAGTCAATTAATATCTCAGAAGTTACTCGTGATTTAATCTTCACTCGGATATAACACTTCCCTCTTGTTTCTTAAGTGATTTCAAGATGAACTTTATTATTTGCTGCATTTCCAATAGTTGAGATCATGAGTCAGTTGAAACTAGATCACCATGGAAAACCTGGAAGCCACTAGACGGCCGTTTCGACTCTTCAGCAGTTGACATCCACGACCCCACCTCGCGAGATTCGAACCCAGAACCTATCAGTCTCGCGCGCGAGCACTTAACCACTTGACCACTGAGCCGGTATCCAAAGTTGTTTAAATTCAACCAATAATTCTGTATGTAAAACTTTTTATAATTATGTTACTAACATAAATTTAGGGCTTTTACAAATGAAGAATCTTGAAATTCGGTGAATTCATGTTATTTGCCAAATCTTACTGTTGTCGCATTATCATTCAAGGCATCAGGATGTAAAGAAATTACATTTTTTTATTTTTAAAAAAAACCAATTAACTAAAACGATGTAAATTAATTTCAACTTAAAGATCATGAGTAGTATATTATCACAGGAGTCTAGAATAAATGTACATCAATCCAAGTTATCATCCCACATAAACATGTAAAAATAACAATAATAAGATGAATAGTGAAATAATATAAGTACGAATGGTGAGGAAAAAAGCTTAAACAATAGAGAATAAGATTTTAAAAAGAAAGATTAAATTCCAGAAATAAGAACTTTGAAGTAATATTGAAATTGAAGATATAGGGAAAGTTAAAAAGTGAATGTATCTGTACTACGGTGAATGATCTGGAGTTAATTTAACTAACATCTTCAAATAATGATCGCTGTAATGAACAGGATTCCGGATCTACCAACATGCCTCAGTTCAATAACCAACGATCTCATGCGTTGGTTCCCTTTCTTAATTACTTTCGTCTTATTCCTGTTGCAGCCTACACAAACATATGGGAAACTTAGAAAATTTCCATTCTATCCGTGAGTTACTGTCAACATATTCAAATACATTAGCTATATATTGAGTCTATTATAGGTCTTTCTAGCATATTCTTCAGTATAATGATGGAATAGATAAGACTGAAGGTAAACAAGAGGAAGTTGTTTACATTGATTATTTAAGGTGTTCGATGGTAGATGTATTCAGTTTTCTTATTAAAAAGTATGGGACGAGAAATTTTTAGATGTAAAATAAACATTCATAGTGTAACCAAGAGTTTAATTTACTTATGTTGTTATTTCAATGCTATAAAATGATAGAGACTTTTAATATATACAATAAACTCAAAGAAAAGTTAATAAGCTAAGTTTCCTGTTATTTTCATAGATCATTATTCAGAAACGAAAGATTAACCATGAAGTAATACTCATAGATTCATGATTTCCCTATTTCTATATTATTACGTATAAAGTATTCAATATTAATGCAACTTATTAGCCAAGAATAGCTTTACGTACTCAAATTTGAGTAACGTGTTTTTTGTGTTTAAAAACTAATAATAATAGTCAACAGGAATAAAACCTTGAGAGTCAAATGCTTTAATAGTGAATTAAGTTTTGTATTCTACTTTCCCTAATTCCGTTTAGACATCTGCGCAGACTAACTGGCTCTCATATAAACCGTAGAATACTTTGTCTTTTATTACAGAGGTACACAGTTTGAATAAGTAAGAGGATGAAACGATTTCTTCAAATAGAAAGTTTCAATTTACTATTTTTCTTAACGTACATTCATTTCTATTCACATTTCAAACTATCATCATAAATAGGAATTCAACTCTTTCCTTTCAAATTACATATGTCACATTTTCCACCTATTAAGATATAAATAAATACACAAGGATGTTCTACATAGATCACCTTGATCAGCATGACATGACTTGGTCAGACCTGTTCTTTTTGACTGAATGCATTGCTATATTTTTGCTTTGCTCCTTTATACTATTTAAACTTGAGTCAATATTAAACATAATCTATAACAATATTTAATATTATGGATCAATGCATTTTGTGGTGTTGTAATTTATATCTACGAAAAATGTCAAACTTGTAAATGTACTTCACAATTATTACAAACGGATAACAGAGCTAATTGTGAGATGGTGGAGAAGATTTGTAGCTCAGGTGGATGATTTTGATAGTTTTGTTCTCTGAGCTGAATGGTTTGGTCTTGGAACTTTCATCGTTCTTCTGAACGACATCATCAGCACAAATTTCAGAGCTAATTGTGTATATCACCGCTAAGTTGTCTTTAAAACTGATATGAATCAACATATGCTCACTAGTGATTGACTTCAAGAGGTATATCCTGGAGTTTTAGTGAAAAGCAGTGACCAGTGGAATCTAACCAGGTCTGTTGTGAGAAAGTAACTCACTGAAGACAATGGTGGATGTGTCGCTCAATTCCGTGGATTAGTTGAAGTTAGACATTAACACTGTTGGATACAGGCTGTCTCAGTGGTCTAATGGTTAGGTGCTCGCGCGCGGAACCAGTAGGTCCTGGGTTCGAATTCCTCGGGGGGCGAGGTCGTGAATGCGCACTGCTGAGGAGTCCTACAATAGGGCGGAGCGGCCATTCAGTGGCTTCCAGATTTTTTATGGTGGTCTAGCTTCAACTAACTCATGATCTTAACCATTGAAATTATAAGTATTTCCCGATTATCTGCCTAGAATCAAGAGTAAACAGTAATAGAAATACTGTTGATTCTGGTTAGGTAGATAAAATGAGAAAGATAAGAAATTTGTATATTGTTACCTATGAATGACTATTCATTAATTTTGAAATAATCAAATGAAAAATGTTAAGAGTGAATGCATGAGGAGTACATGAACTGGTTACTTTAAATACTTTCTTTGGTTTGATATAAGGGGCATATCATGTGCACTATTTACACAAGCAGATCGAATGTAAGTAAAAGTACATAGTAACTCAAGCAGAGGTTTTGACAAAAATGAAACAATAATGAGTAACTCCTAAGACTAAAAAAAATGTACATTAGGCCGTTATAAATGGTTTGAAAAAAAAATCAGTAATTTGGTTGTAATAAATCGCATGGTTAAAAGTAAGATTTACTCATAATGATTTAATTATCAACTAATCGATATATTATAATGTAGAATTATTCGGTAAATGGATCAGTCGATTATCCATTTTCCGCTAAATCTTAAGAATATACTAACAAAGAAATAATAATTCAGAGATGACTAAATCCAAAAATCTTTTCAACACCCACGTTGGAAGTGAAATAGTTATCATCAATCTCATTTGCTGATAATTAGGGTCTGACTGACTCCAGTCAGTCAATCACAACGTATAACTTCGTACGTACGTACATCAGTTCGAGTTGATATACCACATTTGCACAGAGATGCAGTAGTCGATTCAAATCCCGTAGTGGTAGAGGTAGTAAAAGTATAATCAGTAATCGAACGCATTAGGGTTCGAAGATGTTATTCAAGGAGTATAATCCAGTGGAATAAACTTCAGAAAGAGAAACAAAAGGGGACATAAAGGATTCAGAAGATTAGAATTTGGGAGAACACAAAGAGTGGATGCACCTGCGCCATTGCAAACGATTTGGAGCCATGTCATTCAAGGTCTCTAAATATCGGTTGTTATCAACCCGCGGTCCCCAACCAGGTAGTCTACACCTACCAACATGACTCATTCTGTGCACTTGTCAGTGACTTCATGCACTTGTGCCATGTTTTGGTCTGGCCGCCCCTAGCTTTCTTCCAACCTACTCCTATACCACTGAACATCGCACGTCGAGGCAGTCGGTCGCTGGGCATAAGTAACACATGTCCCAGTCATCTCAACTGATGAAGTTTCACCACTTCATCAATTGATTTGCCATCCTTACCTAGTACCCGTTTCCTAACAACTGCGTTACTTACTCCATGGTCCCAGGATATACGAACGATGATTCTGAGACATATATGATCGAATACTAGTAACCTACGAATATCATCTACTCCTACCGGCCACGTCTCACTGCCATAAAGTAGGACGGGACGAAATGCTGCGCAGCAAACACGTCCTTTGGTTGATAGACGGATATCTCGCCTACGCCATAAATGACGCAAGTTGGAAAAAGCTAGTCGAGCCTTCTGTATCCGTGCTGAGATTTCGTCACACACCAGACTACAAAGGCTGATGAGACTTCCAAGATAAGTGAACACCTTACTGCTGTCACACCCTTCTACAGTCAGCAGTACGACTTCACCCTCAGACGTTGAGTTGCTGCTTTGAGTCTTACCGTTCTCCAATCGACTTGCCTGGCATGGTAGAACCTACAGGAACATATGTTCCAGCCAATATAGCTCGTTTGGGTCATCACGATAGGCAAGCCCGACCACCACGTTAAGGTAGCAGCTACAAAACCTTACTTTCCTAGGTTTGACTTATGTAATAGTGTTAAACATACACTCTTGAGAAGTCATAAAATAAGACTAAACAGCTATCCAGTATTGTCTGATCCTCAATATTTCATCACCTTATATGCCAATGAGTGATGGAAACTAAAACCTCAAATTGAGAAAAATGATACAATTTTATTTACCTCGAAGATCTCCCACTGGAGATAATGATGAATTCAGAATTTGTGCAGCTTTACGTCCGTATGTATCAACGAATGGACCAAAACGAGCAGAACCAATAAATTTTAATGGAGTAGATGAACTAATTTTAGCTGAACATAATAAGAGCAAATGATAAATGAAAGTTGTGATTGGAATAAGAAAATGAGAGAAAAACGATCATTTTTTTCAACTAACTTGTTTACGTCCCAAAATACTGAAGATTCTCATAGTATTAATCTGAACTACACATATAAGTAAACAATATAACGTTCTAAGATGGTGGAGACTTGTAGCTCAGGTGGATGATTTTGATGAAGTTCTGTTCTTTGAGCTGGATGGTTTGGTCCATCACCAAATTGTCACATTCCATTAGATCTTTATTAGGATTTATTTTAGTATGCCGTAATATTTAAACGGAAATATTTAAAATATTAAATCGATAAAAATAATTTACAGGTCAATCATGACAGCGAAATAGTTTACGTTACTGACCGTAGTCAGTAAAAAGTACATATCGATAGTAACACGGGTGATAGTTGTAGCAATAGTGATAATTAGTAATAACTGCTTGAATAAATATTTCAAAATAGGAAACATGTGAAAACTTAGGTGAATAAAGTTGATAAAACAGTAATTAGAATGGTGGTCTGTAGAAATTGTGGCAATTTTTTATAGCTGAATTTATGGCTCAGTGGTCTAGAGGTTAAGCGTCCGCACGTGAGACCAAAAGTCCTGGGTTCGGATCCAGTATGAGGGAATGCGAGTGCGCACTGCTGGGGAATCCCATACTGGGACGAAACGACCATCCAGTGCTTGAAGGTTCTAAATGGTGATCTAGCTTAGATAGACTCGTTAATTCAACTAATAATCAATAAAAAATGACATAATAGGAAATGTGTGGATAGTCCGTTTATGTATGGAGATTGAAAAGGAAAAAAGAAACAAAAAGTAATTCATCTACAAGAATTTATTTGAATCTTCCCGTTGTTGATGTTATGGACTGCAATTGATCAGTCCCTTTTGCCATGCGTGAATCCAGCGCAGACAGCCTCAATATTGATATTAAATCACGGGCACATTGAGCAGAATGAGATAGTGGCTAGCAGTGGAATTCAGGACGCACGGTTCGTCTTATTTGGGACTCGTCAGCTGAGTATATCTGCTTCCCAGCGTTGATGTTCATGTCGGACTCAAACCCAGTACATTTTGGTTCAAACATTCAACGCGTTATTCACTTAACTAATGAGTTCGGATAGTCGTCGGCTAATAAATGTTAATATTCTCTCATAGGTTTTTCTGATCAAGATAGAAGCAGAGGTACTGCAAACCTTATTTGAAAAAAAAATGCTAAGGTTGTTATCTTGATTCGTTGGAACTTCAATTATGTATAAGACAGGCGAGAACGAACCCTATTTAGAAGGTTTTAACTTATTTGACAAATTACTTTGAATGGTTTGGATCGATCTACTATATAGCTACTATGAACGAAGTGTGGAAGGATAGAGCTAAGTACTAATTCTGTCTGGCACTTTCTAAATCACGAAGAAGAGTTCGCCAATTCGTTGACCAGTTAATCAGACAAGACAGTCAATATACCACTACTCATAGAAACGTTTGGACGAGCGAATACTTTTAACTAATCCTGATTAGTTGTTATGTATTCCTTTATCATAGTTATCATTGACACAGAGATTATCCGGATTCACTTTCATCTTGAAATAATTCCAAAAATATATGCAACCAATGTGAAACCTTAGCCCGTTGTAAAGAAATACTTCTGCAGGTGACTTGAATATATTTTTTTGAATGAGAATCATTATATAAATAAAAATAATATATTTGTAATATCCCAATGAGTAGAAAATTGGATTTTCTACTCATTGGGATATTACAAATATATTATTTTTATTTATAACAATCAACCTAATGCTCAATTTATTCGAAATTATCAAATCAAACCTTGGTAATGACACCTAGAGAATCATTATAATTGATACACATTATACTGGAAAGAATTCCATAGATTGTAACTAAGTAATTTAAATATCTCATCTGGAAGTTCAATCTCTAGAAAAGTTAGAATCAGGATGTCGAGTAAAACTTTGGAATAAGTGGATTAGGACTAGTGAAGTTTTTCCATATACTATATGTATGTATTGTCTTTTATACAATGGAGAGCCGGTTTTTGAAACTTTTGAAAGTCATTATTTTAGCAATGTGAAAAGATGATTGTTTTAAGGAAGGATCATTATGAATGGGATTTATTCAATGTATATAACAGTTTCCTATTATTGTTAGATGTCTAGATATAATTGTGAGGAAATTTTAGATTCAGACCTAATTATTGTTTTAATAATAATGAGCAAGAAGCATATATGGTCGTTAGGGGACTTTTATTCTTTGAGATTTGAACCTTTAATGATTGCTATTAATTAGTAAACATCACCGCATTGTAAATGTTCGTTATGAATGCGCTATAGGCTACTGCAGGGGATTTTCAAGAAAAAGTACATACGTATAAGACGTCACCAAGTTATCAGAATTCAGATAAGCTATATTGATGGGGGGAGCGAATGGCATAGAAAATACATTTTATATTATTTGATATCTCTTACTTTGTCTGTTATTCCAAAATGTAAATCCTTTTTTTGTTATTCTATATTCATTCGCACAACCTTACGTGGAACAGTTGGGTTTCCGTAAAACATCTACGATTATTAAGATTTTATAAAGGGTGACCTTTTGATTTCATTATTATTAAAAAACCAGCCGATTAAAAAAGATTGCTTCAGAGTTTCTGTACCATACCGCTCATTTCTTCGAGTTTAACAACTGCATACAAGAAGAATCCAAACTTTTGATTGCTTACGATTCTTTAAAGATTTTCTTTCATTGTGTTATACAGAAATTAGGAAACAAAACAGCTCTCGAATGCTAATTAGAATGTTTTAAAATCAAACACAATTTCATATGAAGTGTTCTTGAGTTTATTTATCTATCCTTATTCATGATCGCACCTTGTAGCTATTTGACTAACACATACAAGCATGTGGGACATTCGGAAAAGTTCTGTACAGAATTAACACCTATGTTAAAGGTGTACTATCGAGCAACTTTGAAAAATCTCAACAATTTCAGAATTTTTTGAAGGGTGTCTTGAATAGCATTATTAGAGGAAGTTTTAATTATCAAACTGTTTATATTCTTTGCTAAATGATGGAAATATCACGCCTGACGAAAAAGCGACTGACTATGTAAACTCAGTCAAACTGCATCACGAGACAAGCCCTAACTTGAAATCCTGAAGGAAGACGGAAAAGAGGAAGGCCAAAGAACACATTACGTCAGGAAATAAAAGCAGATATGGAAAGGATGAATAACAACTGGAAGGAGCTCGAAAGGATTGCCCAGAACAGGGTTGGATGGCGAATGCTGGTGAGCGGCCTATGTTCCTTCACGAGAAGTAACAGGCGTAAGTAAGTAAGTAATGTGAACTCAGTAGCTAAGTAGATAATGTGTTGGTTGTCTGAGCCTATAATCACTTGTTTCGAGTCCCGATTTGGACATCAACACTGCAACGCAGGTCCGTCTAGCTGGTGAATCTTATATAGAACGAACCGCGCGTCATGGGTCCCATTGTTCGGAACAACCCATTTATTATCTCGAATAGATTTAAAATTACATTGTAATGCTGAAGAATAGTAATAAAACATAGAGTCACACAAAGATAAGACGATAAGATTGGTACTTGGTAAGTCAAGTAAATAAACTTAGGTTAGTAATTTATAGTTTTCTACATATTTTAATATGGATGTTCAGACAGTGAGTTTCAGATAACAACTAGTAAAGTATAACTAAGCTGCATTAAATTATTTCAAATGCACTAAAACCTTTACAAAAAAAGTGACCAGGTTCATGTAGACTTATTAAATCCTATTCGAGCGTATATTATTACAAAGTAGTTGGCTAAAGTTTCATATTTACTTTATTTGTTATTAAAAAAGTTGCGATTCCCAAAATATATGACAAACATAAAAAACGCTACATTGGTTTATTTAACCATACTCAAATTTGTGTGCTGAATTGGTAAAAACACTATTAGTGTTTGTAAAATTTTATGTTTATCGAGCTATTAAGATGCTCTAGCGTTTAAAAAACGGCATGCAGATGACTTTTTTATATGAATGAAATTCAAATCTTGAAACTGTTGAAACAAATCCCATTGATCAATGTTGTTCGATCATACGTTCGTTCCAATCGACTATAATCATATCAGTAATGGACATTTAAAGTCTTGGGTTTTATGTTGAAAGTTAGTACTAAGATTTCTACGTGAAACAACATAAAAACCAATCGGGCAAAATTGATTTCAGAACAAAAATATCAATAGAAATTCACTTGATCTGGTATCCGTTTTTTCAAAGTAACCTACCCTGAAGAGATTTAAACGAAATCAACGATACCGAGAGTGGGACAGCCATCACACCAGTGAAACTCATTACAACCAAGCAATAACAGTAAAGTTGGAAACATGAAATAACGGTTTTCATGGTAATGGGTAGCAGGCCTGACGAAACTGGGTTCGATACCTTGTAGGATTGTATTGAAGCTTTAGTGTGAAACTTTTGACAGGCTAACATTCATAAAAATACTGCTTGACACACAATACTTAAAACCATCGGTTTGACGTCTGATTACGTTTCGACCTAAAGAAAAACAAAGCAGTACCAAAAATAGTCATCGCACCCAATCTCAGTTGAATAATAAAGAGAACTCACTATCATTCCCTGAGGACTCTAAATGTTGTTGATAGAATTGTATTTCTACTGAAGTGTTCTCCACATCTGACGTTTCAATGAAGAAAGTTACATCATCTCCAAGTTTATAAAGTGTACCACAACATTCTGGTTGTTCACCTCTATGAATACGGCAGCGATTGATTTCCAAAGTGGACATTGGAACTGGATAGGATCGACTAACAACACTAGAGTATGATGTTCTACTTGAAGATGGGTACTGTAGACATGAAAGTTTAGGAGTTGAAGAACCAGCTTGGTAAACCAAGGTATCTTCCTTCTGTGAGCATTCAGGCTTATTTGGTGTTACACCTATTGTGGATGAAATGAAATACATGGGATTTAAAATAATGGGTATATGGATATCCCCAATGGGGTTCACACGCTTTTTGATATTAACCTACTAGATGAATTAATAAATTATGAAATATTATTTTACTTGATACTTAGCTAAAATAATATATTTTACATAAAATCTGGAAGAAACTGCCATTATCTGACACATTTATAGTAGAGATATATAAGCAGTTATAAAATAAAGCTCTTGTTGTAATTGTTATCCAACACTTGGGAATCACTAAATGCTGCAGCGATTGTGACGTTAATAAAATGGATCCATGAGATAACGATAAGTTCAACTTTAAAACCAATATCAAGGGTACATTTATTAGAATTTTATAAATGGTAGTAAAACCAAAATCACCATGAGATATTTCAAAATTATGTAAACGAGTTACCAACTGTAGCAAAATCATCCGTTCTACTCTTTGCTGATGACATAAAAGTTTGGAGACCCATACACAGTATGTCGGATAGGATAGTATTACAGAATGGTCTTAGCTCATTGTTGGCATGGTTGGACAGGTGGTCACTAAAAGTAAATCCTAATAAGAGTATAGTGATGCAAAAAAATAACTATGATGAATCGTATCACTACACAATAGGTGGATTTGTGCTATCCAAAGTAAGAAACTATAAAGATTTAGGAGTCATATTAAGCAGTGATCTCAAAACCACTAGTCACTGTAAGGCTGCTGCTGCGAAAAGCTATAGGGTATTATGGTCTATTCGTAGGTTTTTCCAGTATTTAGATGGCGAAATGTTTAGATTATTATACCCGATTTATATGCGACCACATTTAGAATATGGAATTCAAGCAGCGATTCCTTGTTTCAAGTATGAAGCAGATATGCTGGAAAGAGTCCAACGACGAGGTACTAAGATGGTACAAGGTTCATCTGGCCTATCTTATGAAGACAGACTAAGACACCTCAATTTATTTCCGTTATCTTACCGTAGAATACGGGATGATTTAATATTGACTTATCGTATACTGAACGATGACCTTGGTAGAAACATGTCTTATCTTTTAATTCCGTCTAGAACAGACCATTTGAGAGAACATTCGAAGAAAATTCAAAAACCGAGATCAAATCGTTTACGTCTGAAGTTTCGTTTCTTGCACCGAGTAGTGAATTATTGGGATTCTCTACTGGAACACGTAATATCAGCACCTTCTGTTGACATATTCAAAACGAGATTGGATCTCCACAGTATTACAAGCTGCTAGGATTAATATAGGTCAATAGACCTATCCTTATTACTGAAGACTGAAGTTTTGGGACGCTGATATGTTTAAGCTGAAGGGAAGGGTTATAGGTAATGAGAAAAAACGTTTATCCCGTTTAATTCAATGAAATAGTTGATATAAAGCGACAATTAAGTGAGTGAACAAAGTATGTAGGAGAAGAAATAGGAAATAGCATTACAAGCTTCGTAGTAAAAATAACATTTAACACGAGAAGCGATAGAAGAACACCTGATTATATTGAAAACGTAATGCGTGTGCTTTTGAGAAAGGTGGTCATTTCTTAAGTAATTTTATTTCGTTTTTTATTAAATCGAAAGATTTTTTTTCAAATATTCATCTAAATCAATTCGGTTTTTAATACTTTTGTTTGTCACACACAGCATTGTCATCTTTGGGACATTGTAAAGTATTCGGGTACTTTTGACGTTTTCTACGTTTTTTAAACTTATAGTTTAACTTTTATGATTTCCTAGAACTTTCTTAGAATTCTAAGTAGCTGTTTGAGACTTCAAAGCCCTCGTTATCTAAAGGGCGGTCTTGTTAACCAGTAGGAGCCACACTGATAACAAATCAAAATGCGGGAAAGAAAAGGGATCTATTGTCAGGGAAAAGTAAAAGGTTGGATATCGAAAACCTGTTATTCCAGGATAAATTTAACCTCAAGAGATACTGATTTGAAGAGGGGTTTTTTCTAGCCAAGACAAACGAACATGACAGTGGTCAGACAAGTACAAATTGAACTATATGTGATATTACTATAGTCAAGTTGGAAAAGTCACAAAACTCATAAAACATATAAATATGAATTAGAACACTTCACAGTAATTATTTGAATAACACTAAAAAGTGAAACAATTAGCAACAGGATATACGGTCACGTTATCTAGTGACTACATAGATTTTAAAGTAATAAGAACTATCGAACATGTCTCATCATTTTCTCCACTCAGGCTTATTATTTCCGTGGCGATGATAAAGGACCTCAGAAACCAAGATCGAAAAGGATTAAAGTGGCATCCCACCTTTGCCGTTGAGTCTTTAAGAGTAGAATATCATGATCAAAGAGGTATCAGCTACATCGGCGAACGTTTCCAATGAAAACTAGAACACTAACACCGCTCATGAAAATTAACAAGACTTATGTCAGCCTACATAATTAAAACCTAGCGAGATAATTTAAAAGCTTACGCGTTTCATTATCTTCATCATCGATAGACATGGGTTGCAACACATATCTAGAGCACGCAACAAATAGCTGAGTGTGAGGAGTGAAAACGTCGTTTTTGAAGAATTTGCAGGAAGTACTTGACATGCGAATATGAATCTCAGAGTTTGACATCAACCAACCACGCTGAACGAAATTTCCATTTTCTTTAGGGAATAACTGATAGTTTTGTAAAACTTACCAAAAACACCGAATTCCATATGAATCTCTGTATCTTTGTCTGTATTTAAGTTATCTAAAGCTGAGACTAAGTGAAAATTATTACCTGTCGGAGTGAATTCCCTAGGCTTTAACCGGGACTCCCATGCTAAAATCTTCAGATTTAGTGAGACGGCATTTTCATCCATATTTTCAATTAATTCTGCCAAGAAGAAACGGTATTGGAACGCAGACAGTGATTGAAGTGTAAGACAACAGTGCCATGTTTCAGTACTAAAACAGACACGTTGTATATGATTTATGTAAATACTTATTAGTATTTTCAGACTGACGCTCGCAAAACAAAGCTTTTTCAGGATTCCACAGTCCAAGGACATTCAACGATCCCGTAACTCCAACCACTATCTTGCGTTTATATTCAAATACGGAAGTTTCAACATAAATTCCAACATCTTCCAAGGACTTAAAGTTAATATCCACTGAAAAAGACAGAGTAGGGTGACTTCGTACACAGGCCATCCCGACTAGCGCAAAATGTTTTGAATATGACAGGAAAATATAACCTTTTAAAGGATGCCTAGAAATTACTGATAAACAAGTAAAATGTCTTATCATTTGACCGAGAACAAAAAATCATTTTATTTCGCTATATGATTTAAATGGTTCAAATGGTCTTAGGAGGAGATCAAGAGCCATTCGCTGATGGAAGTCCTATATCTAGTGGCAGAGTATTACTGATATCTCCAGGTGTGAACATAAATCTATTTAACGGTAAAAAGAAACAAATCAGTAAACTATAGTGAAATCCAGTCCTGTTTTCCTAAACGTATGTCAAGTTTCCTTTTGAAATGAGTCTCCTGGACCACCTCAACAGGCAGCGATTTCCAGAATTTGACTAATCATCACGAGTATATGTACATACAGTCCATCCTGCTATGTTTTTTTTCCAATTTCTGAATGTTATCTTTCAGGTTTGTGTTTGAACTGGGCTGACCTATATGCTTAAGTGGATGTCTATGAGTTCTTATGATCCTATAAGTCCTTAGGTCACCTTACAGACGCCCATCATCTAGCGGGTAAAGATTCACTGATTTGTGGCGTTCTACATCAGGTGTGAGTTTGAGTCCCCGAACAGATTTGATGCCTCACCCTTGGATACATTCTAATGTTTTCTTGTCCTTTTGGAGTGAGGGAGGAAAAGTTATATTTCCATACGCTAAATGGGATCGAAGAAGATTAAGTGTTAAGTTCTTCAGTCGGATTGGTAAGCAATCCTCCTCAACGTTTCTAGCGCAGGGTTCGCCAGAAAAACACTCTGGTTGCGGTTATCGTGATCATTAGGATCACATGCTACCAACACTCCCAGGTCTTTTATGACTTGAGATACCTCTAAGGGGGAGTTACCTAGGTCATATTCGTAGTATACGACATATCTCAGAAGGGCTACTTTACGTTTTGAAGCGTTGAAAGTAAGTCTACTGTCATCCACCCTGCTTTCAAATCGAGCTAGACCCTCCTTATATACCAGCTCAACACCTCGGATACAAAATTTTCTTTAAAGTTCAGCATCGACAACGAAAAGTAATGACTCAGATGTTAGTTGCTGAGGAAGGTCATTTATATTTTAGATCCCAGACTACAATTCTGCATTAGAGAGACCGACCGAACCAACGCAGCCTGTTATTAATTTTCATACTTACTTTAACTTTATTGACTGGTTTATACTTATTGAGCCTTCAAATAAAGGTAAGAAGGAAATTTTTATCGACAAAAGCATCTACTTCAGCAGTAATTTTGTACTTGTATTTGATTGATGAACATTTAAGTCTACAGAAAAATAGAAAAAAGGAAATAATGAAGTGATCTGTAATTTTATTTATCCAAAGGAGGTGGCGTAGTTATCAGGATGTCAGAGAGAAATTGGAAGATGAAAATGATTTATGGGACCCAAGTATGAGAGGGGTGTTTGAACCGAAAACCTACGCGTCTGTGAAGGATTGCGGATCGACCAATATGAACTCTTATTCCCAAGCGCCAGTTCCTTTCTACAGTATTTTTCGGTCTTGTTTAGTATCTATGGTCATTTATTACTTTTTAAAACCTCATTCATTTATTAATGTCCCAAAAAATGTCACGGCAATTACTCAACTATTATTATGGCTTTTACTTTGTTTTTCTACATGCCGGTCAAGTGGATATTTATCTCTCATTCTTCTGACCCTTGAAATAGTTTCATACTCACAGTTTAAACTAACATCCTAGTCATTGGCCAACTTCATTTGAATGCTTAAAATCACAGGCTAATTTATAATACAGCTTCTTCTGATCATCAGTAGACTCATATATTTATCAAACAACCATAAGTACAAAATCGCAGCTCAAGTAAATGATTTTGGTTTATGCATCAAAATTTTGTTAGTGTTTTCCAAAATTATTTTCATTCACCCTGTCAGACTGTGTTACACCTGACACGTGCATTACATACTGGAATGATATCCTAAGCTGTAGAGACTTATTAATAATCGCAGTTGTTTTGAAGTAGACCATTCATGAAGATGTTAGTAAAACACAGTTTTATAAATTCTTAATTTTTTAAGAACACTTTATTTAATAAATTGTCTCACGTACATATGTAAGTGCACTCAATCTAATTTCAAAATCACCTCAACGATTTATAACTTGATTGTTTTACCCTGTAGTTTTCGAAAAATAACAGTAACTTCATCTTTGGATTGTCAGTGATGTTGTAAATCGGTATTTTATGCAAATGTTCATTTCATATTCTTTTATTATTTGAAGTGTTACTGAATAAAATTGATGTTCTGGTTTATATTAATTTATCAGTTAAACTGTCGTAAGAAATCCATGAAGCATGAACTTTTTTGGGGGGAGACCTCGAAAAACGTCATCAATGAACCTTTTTAATGTTTGAGCAGCGTTCCTTAGACCGAAAGGCATACGCAAATATTCATAGAGTCCGAAGGGAGTGATGATGGTGGTATTTGTTAAACCGTCAGTAGCCATAGGGATTTGATTACACGCTTTTACCAAGTCGATTTTCGGAAAAACAGTTATACCTTTCAAGGTAACTGTCAAATCGTGAGTGTTGGGCAAAGGGTAACGATCGGAAATGGTTCTCGCATTCAGTCGCCGATGGTCACCAGTTGGACGTCAATCGTTGCTGTCCTTTTTAGGGACCATGTGCAACGAAGATGCCCATGAGCTGTTTGACAGCCGTATGATTTCCAAGTCTATCATGTGTTCGGATTCGTTTTTGGCCAGCTTTAGCTTTTCAAGGCCTAGTTGTCGTGCTTTAGAGAACACAGGTGGTCCTGTAGTCGTGATGTGCTGTGTAACGTTGCTGGTTGCACACGGCCATTTGGGATGCGATCGGTATATCCCAGAATACTTATCGAGCAGTGGTTGAAAGAATGGGTCTGTTTTATGCTTTATTGTAACTGGAGATAATCTGCAGGCGTAGAAGTTAATTACACAAACAAACAAATTAATGTTTTCGTCTATTAGCCTCTGTTTGCGCGTATCAATGATTACATTATGGTTTCGAAGGAGGTCTGTACCAATTATTGGCATATAAACATCTGTAACACCGAAGATCCATGAGTTTTCGGTAACCCACGTTAAGGTAAACGTACTTTTTACAATATGTAGCGATAGACTGATTAGCGAAGCCTTTCGTTAGGATTCGCAGCAAGAACGCCAACTTCTGCGCCAGTAACGACGAGGTAGCATACTTTCTTTATCAAATCTGTGATGTATGACAGATAGCTATGTTCGCCGGCTACGGTTGCCGTTAACACGTGCCGGCTTGGAAGCTTCCCAAATTGTTTTTCATGTCGGTCGATTTTGAAAAAATTGCAAGATTTTCTGCGATTTCTGGAAGACTTTTCATACTATTTATGATACCAACACCAGTCGGGGTTGTCTGTCTCTATTAGTCTAAAGGCAGCTCGCCCATGAGAAGTGCTTCTTCGCGGAGCGTGTGACAGTTTACGGTTATTATGTCAGCGAATGACATAGTTGTGTAATGTCATTCTAGGTCGTTTGAGGCTTTTCTTTTACTGAAAAACCTCGACATTAGAAGATTTCGTGATTTAAAGGATGCGGTCGGCAGATGCAGCCAGCTCGTCAATGGCGTTGTTTCGAAACGAGATCAACACGGCTTGCACCTCTCGAGGAAGTTTGGATAAGGAACGTTGTTTAGATAGGCCATCATCGAAGTTTTTTGGCCGGTAGCCTCTCTCATTCTTTGCAACATTTCTGTCGCACAACCGTGTTGCAGGTCGATGTTATTAAGGAGTTGGTTTAACCTTTGTTGATCGGTTAGGTCTCCGCATTTAAGGATAGATCGTTTCAGTGTTTCGTATCGTTCTGAAGTATCACTAGTAAACATACTAGATGTTACGTACCCGTTGAACCCGTACGGTAGTGCTTTGACTATTGCGAGGAATTGTGTACGTGTGTCGATCACGCCGTGCTCGATGAAGTCGGTTTCCGCGTAGCAGAAACAGGCTTCGATGTTGTTTGGCCAGAAGAGAATTAGTTGGAACGAAGGGGGGGACATAATCTTTAACTTAAGTACCTCGAGTGTCTGTTCAGTCATGGTGAAATATCAAGCACGAGAATGAACGAGTGAAATATATACATATATATCCAAAAACACGGAAAAAACATCGCAATGTATAAAAAATTGAAATAAGGCATTGATATGTAAAATCCTAAAAAGTAACAGACTCACAGTTTTCAGTTTGATGCACCAGATCACGTCGGGCTCACCAATGAAGATGTCACAAGTATTCGGAGTTTGACAACGCTTTAACCATCAACACCTTCTAATATGAAACATACCCACCAAGTGAAATCAAAAGACAGAAGCGAGGAGGTTCGAAGATATATTTGATGGGCCATCAATATACCGAAGATCGTTTGATCTAATTTGGCTAGCGATTGCGGTAGATGTTGAGCATGGCATTTCTACTCGTGATCTGATGCGGATGCATGACCGAGGTCCTTCAGCTAAGTGATCCATTAAAACCCATGTAGCCAGCATCCAATGTCAAAAACCTACAGAGCTATTTATTTTGGGATTTACTTACGGCTACAACGTCAGCGTTGATGCCGAAGACCCAAAGAAGACTTGTTTACCTTTATTGACCTACTTATAACCAGTCTTGACCCTAGTCTAAAGTGGATAAAAATATCTTTGGGGATGACACAGCAAGTTAAATCGCAAACACCTGAAGTACTAGACGAAACTTAGAGAGTCTTTTAATAGGACTTAAAAATCAGGTTCCAGTATTTATTTACGATAGCTTTTGAATGTTTTCATACAGATAGGGTCCTGCGTGGTGTCATTAACAATCTATTATTAAGAAACCCAGAAGATTATCTGGCGGAAACTGCCTATTCAATTCTAAGGGACAAACAATTTGTTCTACATCTATTATCAACACATATGGTATATTTACATCACATTTACCTGCGTACATAGTTCTATGAAGCTGAAAAAAGTCATTTATTTTATTTAGATCATAAAAGA